GTGTGTGTGTGTGTGTGTGTGTGTGTGTGTGTGTGTGTGTGTGTGTGTGTGTGTGTGTGTGTTAGTGGAGGCTGATGCTGAGTATAAAGCTTTTACATGATTATCTGACTGCTTTATGTGGGAATGGACATTAAACAGCATCAACACGAGCCTCCTAAGAGGCCAGACTCTCTCCTTAAGTGCCTGTCTTTGCAACCAGCGGTTAGTTTTTTTGTTTTTGTTTTGTCTGATTGTGCACACAGCAAAAACACACACAGACACACACAGGCAGGTGCATTCAGAAGGGTTAGAAGAACTCTGTCGTTGTATCTGTGGCAGAAAACCGGGGTCCCGGCCACGATCGCACGCTGGCRCCGGACCTTGCTGCCCTTCACTGAGTCATGCTGCTGTTTTGTCTCTGTCCTGCAGATGGAGGTAGTGAGCACGTTCAAGCGAAGCGGTTCGTTTCAGGGAGCGGTGAGACGACGCTCCTCCGTGCTCAGTCAGCTGCACGATGTAAACACTATCTCTACCCCCTCTCACGTAGCTCTCTCCACCGCAACAGCCAATACCAGCCCAGCCCCTGGGAGTGAGTCCACCGAAAGCATGCACACACACCGCACACACTTTTTTACCTGCACACACACTCATTAACAGACACACACACACTGCTGCACGGCACGTGGACTGCAGTACTTTTTACTCTYTATGGTTGTGACCCACCCCCCCGACACCCCTTCCGGCTCGCTCGCTGCTCGTGTTTGTGCCTCCTCTGTTTTTTATTTTTATTTTTTTATTTGATTTTATTATTTCCTCCTGACAGTCCTGACCAGCTGTGTGGTCCTGGTCTGGTCCGAACSCAGTCTGTCTCGGGCCAGAGTCTGTTTTTGTTGTTGGATGTGGGTGGGTGCGGGAGACGACCGGCCGCTCCCTCCCTCTACGACGTGAAACAGCTGTTTTTTGGGGACGAGGCTGACTTTAAAGCAACAAAAAAAAAGCTGATTCGGTTCTGACGGTTCAGGGAGGAACCGGCGGCTCCTCCTGCACCCCGTCTCTTRTCTGTGAATGAGGTCAAGCGTGGTTCCTGTGGTTTTTTACTCTGCTCTAACAAAGTGCTTTCATTTCTCCTCTGAAAAACACCCAAACAGTATTTAATGGATGTGATATAAAACGATCTATTTTCACTGAACTCATCATCACCAAACGGCTTTCACATGGCTTCTGCAATTCTCTAAACTGTAAACCTTCGAGTATAAAAGCCCCCCCATAATTCACTGCTGTTTTCAAGATTAAAGTTAAGAAACGCTGCTTTCTTTCCTTCTTTCTGCTCTCTCTTCTGTTCGGTGCAATGTTGTCAACTGGTTGTTTGTGTAACCGTATTTCCAGCTCCGTTTGGGCCTGATGTCTCCAAAAAAAAAAAAAACTTCCTGATCTCTCTCTCTCTCTCTCTCTCTCTCTCTGTTTCTCTCCATCACAGCTCTTTATCCTTTATTTATGAAACGATGCAGGTTTCCTGTTTGAAGAAATGTCCTCCAGTTGTTCTTCATGTGTGGAGCTGTTGTTTTGTAGAGCTATTTAGATTTGAACAGATCTAAATACAGGCTCTCGTTTAGCATTCTGATAAGATTTATTTAGTTAGTTTTTCCCTTTTTTTTTTGTCTTTTACTTCTATTTTAATCATCTTTTTGTCATCCTCTCATGTCCTTAGAGTAGCTACCATCCCTCATGTTTATGTTGATTTTTTTCCCCTCCTTTTTATTTCATTTTTTGTCCGTCAGTTCTGCGTGTCTGACTGAAAGCGTGCTAAGAAGTAACCGTGCATCTGCTGACATATCGGAGAGCCGCAGTTTGACTCGTGCGTTCACTCGAGTGCTCGTGTGCCTGTGTGTGCACGCATGTCTCCTCTTTTGACTGTCTCCATTTGCCTCCTCAGTTGCTTATCCTTACCTTTCTTGCTCCTTTCCATCACCTCCCACCCCGCTCCTCCTCCCATCACCTGTAGGCGTAGACGTAGAGAGGCCCGGGTCGGCCGCTTGACCGATCGTCCCGCACAGTCGCGAGGAAAAAAAACCTGGGCTTCGTGTTTGGAACAAAAAAAAAACATGTTTCACGTCATGATTTTACACCATAAAACCTATTTTAGTTCTGAAGGTTCAGGTCTGACCTCTGCCAGGTCATCGCCCTGCTCTTTCAATTCCTTCATCGTAATTTAATTTGTGTTCAAATCTGGACCKTGACACTGATTTTTTTTTCTCCCTTTTTATGGTTCAGTCCCTGATGGGAAAGCAAATGGATTTCAGACAGACAAACAGGAGGGAATGTGAAGGAGCAGGCAGGAACTTTGTGTTTTTTATGTGACGCAGGTTGAGAAGCAGCCCACGGGCAAATAAAACGCACCATCATTCTTGTTTGTTTCAAGCGGAATTAAAAGAGTTGATTTTACTCAAAGGATGTGTCAGAAGATATTTTGTTTCCTTTTTTCCATCAGCAGATCTGATAAAAAAGCACCAGAACTGAGCCTCGCGTTGCTTTAGTCATGCTCTGTTGTTGTGCAGAAACTTTATTTTTTTTGAAGCTGGACGTAGAGAGTCTGCAGCTTCGCCAGCAGCGCCGAGTCTTGGGGCGGCAGCGCCTCGTGTCGACGCTCATGTCAGCGTGGACATATTCTCAGAACGCCAACAGCCCGGCGCTTCAAACTAATTATCTTCATGCTCTTAGAATGTTGGCTCGTTAACTTTCCCGTTAATTAACTCTGGAAAGGAAAGCTCATCCCAGTTTCGCAGAAAACAACATTTCTTGTCAAGTTGTTCGGTCGCGAGGAGGAACTTTTTCACTGGACTCGTTTCCAGAAAAGTTAGAAGTTTAGAAATGCAGAGAGTAAAATCATAAACACGTAATGGGTTTGAACTTTTAATTACCAGATACCAGTTCTGGGACTGACTTAGAAGTACTCACTGCAAAGTCATAAAGACAGAAGCTGCACCGTTTTGTCTCATAATTATGGTTAATGTGTTCTTAAATCACACATTTAAAAAGGACGTTTGGGACCTGATGCCAGCTTGTTTGTTCACCTACAGAAAGAACGCTTTGGCGTGGAGAAGTCTGACAATTTTGATGTTTTTATGCATATTTGTGCTCAGATTTGTTGACTAAATTATGCAGTTAACTTTTTAAAAACAATCTAAAATAGATGGTGTAGACACCCACACTGTTTGTGTTGAATCAGGTCTAACTCCAAGCATACAAGGTACATCCAATCTAGGAGCCAACTTAAAGTACCTGTGACATCATTTTTGTATCAAATATGAATGCATTATTGGAAAARTAACAATGATAACATATTAAAAAAATAATTTCCCGTCRTTGAGATGAACAGTTGTTGAGATATTTGCATGTGAAGTAACAGGAAGTGATGTCAAAGGGGAATGTCTGCATGTAAACAAAGCTTTGCTACAATAACAGACTGTAGAGAAGAATCTGATGTTTCTTTAGATTGTTTTGAGTCACTAGAGATAATGTTCAAATAATATTGTTTCAATAAACAGAGACCAGAGAGTTCATTTTCAGAGTTCCCCTTTGATGTCACTTCCTGTTTCACTCAAATTTAAAATAAAATATGCTGGTTGTG